GGTAGGGCATGGTGGTATATGCCTGTAATCCCAACATGGGTAGGCTGAAACAGGAGGACTGCAAGTTTAAGGGCAACCTGGGCTACATAAAGAGACCCTGTCTCATCAAAACAAAATCAAAATTAAATTTAAAATTAAAATTAAATTTAAAAATTAAAATTAAATTTTAAATTAAAACTTTGTTTTATTATCCAGGACATGGATGGTCTGTCTTGATTAATGTTTTGTGTGTCAGTGAGCAAAATTTGTGTTCTGCTTTTGAGTGGAATTCTTTGTGTCAGATGCCTTTGGTTTATGATAATGTTCCTTTTTTTCCCCTCTGTTTTTGCTGATTTTATCTAGTGTACTGAAGGAAGGACACTGACTACAATTTCTGGTGAGGTAGTGATTGGAAAGAATGTACGAAATACAGCACCTGAGATGTCTTTCTGTAGGGAAAAAAGGAGATTCATGTTTTTATAAACCCATGATTCTAAACTATATTGTCCTGTCAGCATCATGCTTAGAAAGTCAGGGAAAAGGGAAAAGGTGCCCAGAGGAGCAGATGGACAATGCAGTCTCCTCCCTGTTGGCCCTCAGCAGTTTCCTGTGCTAGCTGAAGCACGATATACTTCTTAGGTAGTAGGATTTAGGAAAGGAAAATTGTCTTCTTTTTTAATGGTTAAGATTTTTTTCTTCTCCCTGTAGTGAGAGCGAAAAAAAGAATTCAGGCTTTTGATGCTAAAATTTCCTGAAGCTTTGAAGAACAAGGAAGATCAAACATGCCCTGAGAAGCACTTTGGACTTGAAATATAAAGATCCAGCCAGAGGAGTTTACTTAAGCCTGAGGCGATTCTGTGCAGAGTTTATGTGGGAGTATCAGTTAAGGGTTGACTGGAAAAGTACAAATTTTGTTAGTTTGTCCTTTAAGGTTTTTTTTCTCTCTACCTCTCTCAGAAGGAAAGGGATTAGTAAGTAAAATTCCATTATGAAAATAGTAGCCTACTTATGTGTAGTTTTTTTAAAGTTTAGAGAACATACTTCATGCACGTTATCATGTTTACGCGTACAACCATGCTTGGTTGGTCTGAACTTTGTGGAGTCCTAGAAATGTTAAGTACAATTGAATAGAATTAAAGCACAGATGCCATCATTCCTCGTTCAGCACTCTTTCATTCTGCCTATGAAAGGATTATTTGTTTTCTGTAAAATGGAGAAAGAATTAACTTTTACTTAAAAGATACTTTGACTGAAGCGGGAGGATAGCCATGAGCTCGAGGCTAGTCTAGGCTACATAGTAAGTTTCAGACTACATAGCAAGACCTTGCCCCGACCAAAGAAAGAAAGAAAGAGAAACAGAGAAATAAATTAATTAATTAATTTAGGGCTGGGAACCTATGTCAGTGATAGAACATGTGCAAGGCCCTTGGTTTGATCTCCAATAGTATAATAAAGAAAGAAAGGTATTTTAAAGATTTGAAAGTTGTTTCGGTGAATATTTACTATTTCATTTTACATAAATTTTAAGATTATAAGAAAAGTTTAATGGGTTTTCATGCATTGACTTAAGAAAATTTTTGGTAGCTGGTTTCATATCTTGAGTCCTTTACACAAACTTCTCTTTGTCTAGTTATGTTTAGGTTATCACATATTAAAATCTGACCTACTTTAAATCCATGTTGTTGCATTCTATATTCTCTGTAAGTCCTTATTTCTTCCTTTGTGCAAACATCAACAGGACTTTTAAAAATTTGCTTTATAATCTTATTGGGCTTTTAATTACATATTACTAGAAGCAAATTTCAATTATACATACAATTTTTTCCTAAAAATATTTTCCCTGCAGTTCAATTAGATTGAAGAAATCTACTTAAATACTATTAAAACACACCAAATACAAAAATGAAACCTTTTTTAACTTGTAGAATAAGGAAATGAAAACCAAAATGTGTATGTATAGTTTAGTGTTCTTTTTGAAGTTTTGGATGACTTCTAATTTTTCTCTAGCTTTATGTGACTGCTGAGGTTTCTTAGTGAAATAAGTTTTTTCCTTTTAGAGAGCCATCATACACATTTTGTGTGTGTATGTGTGTGTGTCTTTAAAATAATTTTTTAAAAAGGGAAGTATTTAGATTTAAGTGAAACTCCTTGACTTCTGGGACATGATTTTGTTAAGTGGAGGCTCAAATCTCATTTTTGGATTGGTTAATTTAGTTCTTACAACATTACATTATCCACTCCATGTTGTTTAGTGTTATTGTATGATTGTTATCTTCTATTTTAAGGTTTTTATTTAGCTCAGTGTTCTCTAGCAACTGTGTTCTTTATATAATTTCTGAAATGCTAACAAAAAAGATTGATGCTCCAGAACAAATTAACATGTAGTTGTTATGATAAGCCTTGATCTTTGCAATAGTGTATTTTAATTTTAAAGATAAAATTTTTTGTTGATGGATTCTAACTGGGCATATTTCCTTTCCACATTCCTATTTATCAGTCTTCTAGATTGGCTCTGCAAGCCAATTTTATACGTTGATGTTTGCTTTTATACAAGACAGATTTTAGCCTGATTTTTCTTAATCAGGAAGGGATGTATGGAAGAATGAAATTGTGAAGCTTCTTAAAGATAATTTTACCGTTATTTTGAGAATGGTATCGACACATAATACGCAATTATAAAAATCTAAAAATGAAGAGACTGGAGAAAAATTAATATATGATAGAATATTATATAATAGAAGGTGACAGTTTTGTAGATATTCTCAAAAGAAAATACATTTAGACCTCCAGGGGGTCTCCCTGGGTGTTGTGCAAGGTCCTCCTGGTTTCTGGCTCCCGAATGGCTCCCGCGTCCCCAGTCAGCTGGACCTCTGAGTCGTCTGGCGTCGGTACTCTTGTGTTCTCTGAGTCCTTTTTCATCAGCTGCTCCTCCCCTGACTCCGGGCCTCCCCGGCTCTCAAGGGCAGGGCCAAGAGCGACCCGCCGTGTGGCATGTTTTCTCAGAGGTTTCTCCATGTTGGGATGGTTCACGCACGTCTCCGGGCGGGCCTGTTGTGTCGGTGCTTCTCTGTGGCCTGGCGGTTCTCGACTTCGCGGCAGCGGCGGCCAGCCCGAGGGCCAGCACGCGTCTCCGTGCCGCTTCCCGGGTGCCTGCTGCCTGCATTTCTGGGTGCCCGCGCGCCCCAGCTGCGCGGCCTCCCCGGGTGGGCGCCTGCACGGTGGGTATGATACATAATTAAAACCAAATATATCAATTCAGTTTTCTCATACATATTTTGAGTACATGAAAAGATTCAGTAGGTACTAGTGTTAAGTGATTAGGAATTCTGAGTGTGTGGTACATATAATTAAAGTTTACTAGTTATAATGTTGGTATTGTCAACATATTTCAAAATTTGGCATTTTTCATATTTCCGTTTTTTATGTTTTTCAAAATGAAACCAGAGAATACAAGCTATTTAATAGTCATTATTCTAACTGGCTAAATTTAATTCCCAGATAAAATTTTTATATCTTTGCCCTTTCAATGAGGAAGTGGGAAAAGCATAGCAGAAGTACGATCTGTCCTTTGACTATAAAACTCTTTTCTTAAAATACTCTGAAAAATAAAATTTTAAATGAAAAAAGTGAGATTTTTCTTATTTTTTGAGAATCACAATTCACACTAAGTTTACATAATAAATTGGTATACAACATAGTTTGGCATTTAGTAACTTCTTTTATTCTGATGATAGTATAAGGAGTATGTAAGACATGAATTATAAATTGTTGGCATTTTACACATTAAAAATATTGAGAGGCTGTAACCCTTGATCATCATCATCTGGTGAGTTCAGGACAAAATCTAAACCCAGATGATTTAATGGCATTTTCAGTGATCTTTCCAGTGGAATATGTCTGAAGTCCTTTTGGATATACTACTCATTTAAGAGGAAATGCTCGTGGTTGAAGTGTGATTAGCAATAACTGCAGTTATATTTTTTTCTTATGTCCTGTCATACTGAACTGACTACATAGCCCTCAACAGCAGATATGAGTGCTGCTGAGTGGATAGTTCAAATGGTACTAAGTGCTTTCATTTAGTCTGACCTTAGTAGTATTTTGTAAAACAATTTAAGTAAACTCTGATAATATGTAAGTGATGAGGTTGTGTTCAATAAGAGCAAAGATAGAAAATAGTGCTGATTAAGAAAATATAGTGAAAAATTAATTTGATATTTTAACTGGCAAAATGAAGTCATCTATCTAAATAAATTTTACTTTTTAGAAAGAATTTGTCTTTTTACAGTAGAAAATACGAATGGTAGAAGTGTGTCTAAATTGCTCAGTTAAGCTTTGACTTTTATTCCTAGTGTTTTAATTACTTTAGGTATGCCTAAGAATAAGCATAAAAATTTAAAATTATTAAAATCCTGAGTATATAGACAAAACTGTTAATACATTAGCACAATTTAGTAATTTTTACTATACATATTTGTTTATGTAATCATATAAACAGGTCAATTCTTCTGTATATTTTTCATTCAGTAATCTCATAAATATCCTTCAGTATAACGATTAGATCTGCTTGATCATGTAAACTTCCAAAATTTTACTGTTTTTCATAATTTACTAATCCTTTCTGCATATTGTAAACATTGTTTTCAGGTGTTTTACTGTTACAGAATAACTTTTAAACCTGTGATAGCCACCTGAGACATTTCTGAAAATATTAAGGATATTTTATTTATATTAAAATCATTTTGACGGTATTTTATATAATCTGTTGACACTGCTTTGACTTTAAAATAATCATGATTTCTATCTTTGCCTAGCCAACTTGATCTTATTTAGGACAATTGGTTACAAATTAAACTTTAATAGTAGAAAATGTTTGGAATGTTTTTAAAATACAGATATTGAAATGGAACTATGTCCAACAGCAAATCTAGGATACTTTTGAAGAAATTATATACATTTTGATACCTTGATATTTATTTGATATTGAAATATTTAAATATATGTATGTGCTTTTTTAATAGATTATCTTTCTCAAGGAATAGATCTTTCTGGAATAGAAGTAATAGAAAATGATCTACTTTTTATTGCAAGAGCTCGACTTGAAGTGGAAAATCAAGCTAAAAGGCTGCTGGAGCAGGGTGTAGAGACTCAGGTAATAAAAATATCACTTTTTAAATATAAAAATATATTGTGCTACAGATGACATTTGGCTTTTAATTCAGAAGGGTGCTATGTCGTTATTTTTATCACAGTGGAACTATGCCTAAAAATTAAATTGAAGAGTAGAACATATATAAGCACAGGAAATTTTATTTAGTCTATTTTTATGTGTTTAAATCTATAATACACCTAAGATTTATAATCCTTAACATGTCTAATATGAAATATATTTTTATAAGATATGTACACGTAGATAGATTGGTAGTCAATACCTGTGCATTATATCTGCTTTGTCCAAGACTCAGTAAGATTGCTATTATTGTTATTTCTGTTTTACAGGTGATGAAACAGAGTTTAAGTAACTTGTTAAATAGCACACAACTAGTAGATGAAATGTTTTGAATCATAACTTTAATCACTGCCTAGCACCAGCACCTTGTACCTTAATCACTGTGCCATAATTGAAAAATTGTTTTTGAATTGATATTTCTCCTAAGGTACCATTTTCCTGTGCTTAATATTCTGAAACAAAAGAAACCCAAAGGTATTAATGAATTAGAACCAACAGATAAAATTAAGTCTGAGTTCTACGTTTGCATTATACCCAGATATTTTCATTTGTATCAAACCTAAGTGGTCATTAATATTAATATATTCTACATAAAAATATATTTCATATTTTCTACATATATTTCATGTTTTCTTAACCAGAAATGTCTTTTTGTTCATTTGTATTGGACAAAAATAGTTATTAATGTTCAGTACTTTAATATCTAGGTACTTATTTTCTAATTCCTAAATAATTGTAATCTAAAAAGGGCCCGGGGATGTAGCTCAATGACATAGAGCCTGCTGGGCAAGTATGAGGCCCTGAGTTCAATTGCTGGTACAAAAAAAAAAAAAAAAATAGCACAGTATTGGTTATATTTTAAAAATAAACCTTTAACCTTGAATATTGTATACATATTGAAAAGTGAGCAAATCACAAATGTCCACATAGAACAAAATATGACAGTAAGAATGTATCTGTGAAATCAAAACCCAAGTCAAGAAATAGGATATTACCACCTGTCTTAGAATCTTACCCTCTCATAGTTATTGTTCTTTCTCTTCTCCAAAGATAGGCCTTATAGGCATTATCCTGTCTTCTAACACTAGAGATCAATTTTATCTGCTTTGTCAGTTATGTTTTAGCTTTAGATCACTCTGTAAACATAAATGCTTATCCAGTTTAAAGAGATACAGTTTTTTAGGTCCTTAAAAGATAAAGACACAATTCTATTATTCATATTTTCTGCCCTCAATTTAAGGGCCATTGCCTTCTTATGGAGTGTCCACTGGTTTTGGCTTTGTAGCCTGTATAAATTTTACCCTCTTTGGGGTTTCACAGTGGAAATTGACTTCCTATAAACTGTGTTGCCCTTTTACTTATTGTGATGGCTTTTGTTTCTTAACACCATTGTCTTTCCTATGTATTTATTCATGATTTAGGCAGTACTGTCTTCTGTCCATCTTAAATCCATCATCTTGTGTTATCAGTACCTAGGTAGATGAACAATCTCATACATTAAACTTATAGTTGTTTGACACTCACTGGCCCAAACTTGAGTCTAGTACACCCTCTTATTATTAGCATTTTGGTCTACATCTCTAGTGTTTTATTCTTTGACTCTAGACCCCTATTTTTCCTCTCATATTCCTTTTAAAACAATATAATTATTTTGTTTATGTAGAATACAGCCTTAAATCAGTGGTCTTTACTACTGTATTGTTTCCTGTTCTGTCAACCATACACCTGTTCTCTCCTTTGGTTCTACTGTTTATTTCTATATTAAGTTGATCTAAGATCTGTATGTTCAAATGTTTTCCTAACTAGTGTTTCTAAAACTTAAGTATATATCAAAACTGCTGGGACAATTTTCTCGCTAAAGTCCAGAGAGCTGAGCACAGTGCCCACAAGTTTCTGGGCACTAGGTCCGGAACCAGGAAACATTTGTTTTTGATGGTACCCTTAACCTGTTTTCTGCTTATTTTTCTGCTAAGCCTGCACAACAAAATGACATCTGTGGGTCCTTGACTGTTTATCTGTATTTTTGCTTCCATGCCTAAGCTGTTCAATGCTGTTTAGAAAGAAAACAAAAAACAGACAACTGTAATATTGATATAATTAAAATTTATGATTCTTGAGTGCAGCTGGAATCTCATTACTTTTTAGTATGTCCAGTTCCCTCTTTCATTTTACAAATGGTTATTTCAAATCTTCTGTATTCACTGTAAACGTGCAGTCTACTTCCTTCTCCCTTACATGACATGATTGCATCTCACAGTTCACAAAGAAAATCAAAGCCATGAAACATTAGTCTTTTCTATTTTCTATCACCTTCATTCTCAAAAATGCAACTCCATTAAATCATTTACCTTTTTATTACAGGCTCATTCTCCACTGCCCTTGTACTGCTTTCGTACTTTGCTCCTTTGCTTATCTGAATCTTCAGCTTTTCCCCATCTACTTGCAGCATATAAAGATACTAAATTTCCTCCCATGTAAAAAGACCAAGGGATCTTCAATATGAATTGTTTACATCTATATTTTATTACATAACTCTTTTCTAGTCTCTATTCCACATAGTTACACTTTGGAAGAGTAGACTGCTCTGTCTCCTTTCCTTGACTTCTCATGTGGTCCCTAGTTCATTCTGGCTTCTAACATGTCTTCATCAATACATCTACTTTCAGTTATGTCATCATTGACCTCTAAATTTCCCAAAATATTCTTTTCTTCTCTCAAATTTTTTGATGGGTTTTCCTGTTTTGTTTTGTTTTTTTTTTCTCTCAGAGTTTTGACTTTGGTGAATATTTCAACTTCTTGTACTCCCTTAGTTTGTCCAACCCCAGATCTTTCATATTTTATTTTTTCTTTCTATTTGTCTCCTTCCTTTCTTATTCTTGATAACTCTGCTGACTTCTGTAGTGTTTGTGTTTTCCATATCTCTTTGGCATCTTTTTACTCGAAGTGCCTTTTATTAATTATCTCCTATATTCCCACTTTCTGATAATGTTCAGATTTTAGCCTGAATCCCAGACCTATTTTCTAAACTCCATATGGGTACCACATACCTTAGGATGTTTGTATGGGTTAATGTTTGCTTATAGAAAACAGAATTTACTTTTGCTAATATTAGTAAGCAAAGACTTATTGTAGGATGTTATTGGGAGGGCTGAAGAAAGAGACCATAATCTGAGATTACCTTTTTTTGGTTAGCTGTTGTAGAGCAGCACCATTCAATGGGAAACTCAGAGTAAGAAAACTACTTCTAGTGTGTAGGATGGGGCCAGTTTGGGCAGGTATTGCTCCTTCCATGTCATGAAACTACCTGCTGTTTTGTTTATTTTTCAGTGCAGTTGATAGCTTTAAAGCCATATGTTATCTGATACTATCCAGATCAGTAAGTGGATGCCCTCTATTCTACATTTTGACACTTACGAGTGTCAGACATAAAAGACTGTTAAGAGTTAATATAGAAAAATCTACTCCTGTGACCACACTTGTTAGGGAAAACAATAGAAATAGGAGAAGTTCTGCCTCTGCCTTTTAAATGTCACACAGGTGATGATAGTTAACAGTATTTGAGTCAAATCTGGAACCCTTTCCATAAGGAGTCTCTCTCAAAAAGACTCCTCTGTCTCCTCCACAGCAAAAGCATACTAAAGGGTAATCAGAACGTGTGTTAAGTAATTCAGTCATAGTATCATTTACATTATTCCAAACAGACAGTACAGTAACCCCTTAACTCAGAATTTTGAGAATCAGCGTTGTCACATTTATCTTCTCAGCTCGTTAGCTGTTACAGAGCAGTGCCACTCACATGGGAAACTTGGGACACAGCTAATTTAAGAACTAGCACACTTTCTACAAAGAGCCATTTAGCAAATAGTTTAGACTTGGTGGGTCATATCATTTTAGTCGTAACTATTGAATGCTGCTGTAGAGAGAAAGCAGCTAAATAAGTAAGCTTGGCAGTATTCCAGTAAAACTTTATTAATGAAAACAGTGGACCAGATTTACCCATTGGCTTATCCGGTTGTTCCTGTTTTCTCATTTCATCCTCCTAGTTTTCTCATCTAGATTATTGTAGTAGTCTTCTGTTAGTGTCTCTAATTTTCACTTACTATCATACTGCTTTCACAATCCTTATGAAAGAGATTATCTAGTCATGCCCATTCACTGCTGAGAATCCCTCGACAGTTTTGCTCATTATAAATCTGTAATCCCACATGCTTCTTGGTGTCTTGCCGCATTCACAAAGGACACGTGGATGTTCCTTTTATTCCCTAATTTACCATCCTTGTCCAGCCCTTTTGTGTTTGCATTTGTTGCTAACCATTCCTTGAATATACTTAATCATCTAATTTGCTTGGTTAATTGGTTTGTTCGTCAATACCTTGCTATTTCCTTAATGTCTCCAGAAAACCTTCCCTGATTCTTCTGTGTGTGTTTAGAACTTATGGTTATACTAGTATCTTTTAAAAAAAAGAAGTCGGGTGTGGTGGTACACACCTGTAATCCCAGCATTTGGGAGGCTGAGACAGGAAAATTGCTACTACAAAGTTGAGTTCAAGGCCAACCTGAACTACATAGCAAAATCCTGTCTCAAAAAGACAAAAAAAAGAGAAAGCAGTTAACGTTATTTATTGTCATATGGATGTTGTATTTATTATAGTTTATGGGTAAAATTTTTGTAGATTGAAGTTTATTAACTACTAAATTTTCTTTCTGCTTTTTCATCCTCTGCAGTGCTCAATAAAATCCAAAGTAATTGCATTAAACAATTGTATAAAATAGTAGATTACAGTCTTAGTATTTCTTTTGAAGGACAGTTGCATATTTCTTACCTTCGCAAAGAAATATCGGAGGAATTCCAAATCAACTTTAAATAAAGACAAATATTCTATAGGAAATTGACACTAGTGCAGCTTTTGTAGTTGCAAGGA